ACCCATGCACACTTGACAAACTCTTTCTCATGTTTATGGAGAAACTAAATCAGATTCTGCGTATGTGCAGCTCGCATCCTACGTGCAATAAGAATTGCTGCCCGTTTAGGCTTTCGTATTTCCAAGGAAACAGCTCATTCTGTTAAAAATTTATCTGACTCAATTCTTAGGCTTGATAAGGTAGTTTAAGAGATCTTGGACCTTATCATTTTCCTTGCACTTAATATTCTTGAGTTCCTGAATTACTTAGTCATTACTTCATACTTTAGGGAAGGCTCCTAATGGAAATGAACTACATGCTAGCATATGGTTCTGCTGAAGCTTCTTTGAGGTTATTATGGAAATTTGGACTTCTAGAACTACTTCTACCTATTCAGGTATGGATTTAATATTGAATAAATTTGCTACTTGTCTGCACAGTACAATAAGTTTCAATATAGTTTCATATTGCAGGCAGCATATTTTGTTAGGCATGGTTTTCGAAGACGTGACAAAAGGACTAATATGCTTTTGGTAATTATAATTACACACTTGTTATATGCTTATTCAATTCTTGATTATATCGTGAAGAGGGTTTGACCTAAAAGTGCATTTAATTCTCTGGCTTTCCACATGCAGTCCCTTTTTTCTAACTTGGATAAACTTCTTTCACCTGACAAGCCATGCCACAGTAGCTTATGGTAAGATGCTTATGATAAAAGAATGCTCATGTGTTTTCTTTATGCCATTAATAACAGGCGATTGAAAAGGTTTAATTGGTCATACTTGCATGGTATCAGTTTTTCTTGGATTCTCATGTTATAGAACAGTATTTCTTTGGCGTGGTGTATGAGATTCCTGCCATTGGGAGGGTTAGATGTATGCAGCCTTATCCTGCATACTTACAAGTTGTTCCTTGTTTTGAATTCCTCCAGGTTGTACTCTTGTTTCAAACAACATAAAATTCCTCCAGGTTGTACTGGAGTACTCTTGCCCTTGCATCATATTTCTTTGCAGTTTGTTTGCTCCTTTTTCTTTTTATTGGTCTGAGTGATCTAAGCAGATTAAGTTGCATAATTCTCTTATGAGATTCTAGGATGTGTACTTACAAGCTCATTACGAGTTGGACCAACTGAGACTCATCACAGGTTTACACTTCCAGGGTTGCGATCTTAGCATTCCACAGAGCACTGTCCGAACAACCTAGGGATCCATTGGTGGTTGCTGCATTTAGCCTTGCAATCCACAATGGTGGAGATATGCTAGAAGCAGTGAACATAGCTAGGGGAATCACTAAACTACACGATGTTAGCTTTAATGAATTATCAGAAACTCAGGATTTGAACCCTCGAGCATTGAAAGATGAGGTTGTGAATCTTGCAACATCTCTTAAGCGTGCGCTAAACCATATGACTGATGAGCAAATAGTCTCTGAGGCGATGGCAGGGTACCCACAAGCACCATATTCTGATCTGGTGAGCACTTCCTTCATTTAAATATTTCTTGTCCTCATGACAAGATTTTTCGTTTTTGTTTGCTGTTTGAGTGTGTGTTGTTTGCATTCATCTCATTTATTGAGAAACTCTAAAGGGTTATTGGGTTTGATCTCAACTTCCAGGTATTTATCCCATGGGGGTTATCTCTGAGGGTCAGCAGGGTTTTTAGTTGCGTAACGTCTGGTGCAGAGAGGGGATTTGTGCCAAAGCAAGGCAGCAAGATTGATTATGAATCATTGGCTGCTGGAAACCTGCCGGAAGTTCGGCATATTTTTGCAAGAGTTGTGTTTGATACCATATATCCGCTTAGTCTAAATCGTGACAATTTTGAAACATGAATACTTGTTTGTGAGAACAATTTAAAAAAATTTACAACAGTAAATCGTGGGAATTGTTTTTTTCCCCCTTTTTTGCCCACACCTTAGCCTACAACGTGGTTGCCTACAAGTGCAAAGCCTTTGGAAAGGCTCTTTCTGATATGATAACAGGATGTTTTTATAATTTTATTGTATTCATATGCTTGACATGGTGCTCACTCCATTGAATATCTGTAAAATTGTTACTGAATATCTCCATTAACATAATTCAAGGTATAAGCAGTTGGAATTTTTTATTTTTATGTTACATATTCCTCCACGGGGAACTTTACCCCAAACATCGCCCTTTCAATCAAACCGGGCAGCAAATGGCATGAAGAAAAAGTATACAAACAAAATTTGTACTGTATAAAATACAAACCATCAGCTTCAATTTCAAGCCTTGGCAAGCTCGGTGGCGGCGGGAGCAGGACCACCAGTAGTTGGCCTGGGAAAACAGAACAGTTTGCAGAACATGGATCAGTATGAAGCTTCCAATCATAGGATATGGAAAATCACAAGGAAAATGAAGGGAGCATAGACTTACAGCCCAACCAAAACTTTGAAAGCGTCATAGAGAACCCATTGGCCTCCAGTGAGGGTTCCAATCATGAATATTCGAAGAGGAAGACCACGAGTGAAAAGACCTAATAACCCTAGCTTCTTCACAGCCTGCAAGACATCGGCAATGAAAACAAAAAACTGATCATAGAGAAAGAAAGAACAAAAAAAGGGTTTATGTTCTGCATGCATATATATAAAAACTCACATCACCAACAGTTGCTCCCTTGGCATTGTTGAGGAAAGAGACCAAGTTGTCAGCTGGGTGTGAGACAACAGCACAGAATACACCAGCAATATATCCACTGGCAAAGCTCACCCCCAGCTGCAAAGGTTTGCTGCATTGCTCTTTAGGTGTTGGGATGGCATGCTTGTACATCAGCTCGATTGTATTCTCGAACGACGCAAATTTCATCATAGTATCTGCAGAAATAAAATCCCAAAATGTTAAAATTTGATTTCAGTGCATCAAGATATCCAAATGAGATTATTGAAACCTTTCAAACTTACAAGGAACCTGACGTCCCCAAAGAGGAACAAGCCCCTTGTACAACCTGCAACACAGTCAAAGTAATCATCAAACCAAAGTTCTTCAAACACAACCACCAAAAGAATTTGAAAGGATTCGAATTCAAACCCAAGAGCGCCTTCGGATTTGATGATCTTTGGAAGCCCGTCAGCCAAGCCTCTGGCAAAGCCGGGCTGAGTCTGGACACGAACTTTGACAGCTTCCATGGGACAGAGGGCAACATCAGCAATGACTTCAGCTGATGCAGAGCCTGCAAGGTAGATCAAGGTCTTGTACTTGGTTGCATACTCCGGCCCTGCAATGTCTGTGTAGTACTTCTTGAAAAACTCATAGAGGCCAAACTTTCCAGCACCCTGGGCGCTGTAGCCGATCAAGGTGGGCGCCCAGCCCTTGAACAAACCTCTGATGCCCTGCTCCTTCAACAGAACTCCAAATCCGGATGTGACGCTCTTGTACTTAATTGGGTCAATCTGAATTGTTAATATCAGCAACATAATTTTTGTCAAGACTTTCTATAGAAAATAAAAGGGCAATGATTTCCCCACTCCTATTTTATCCACTTACACTCCTTTTTTATAACTAAAAAAGGAGTGTAAGTGGATAAAATAGGAGAAAAAGGAGTGGGGAAATCACCACTCAAATAAAATGAAGAATAAAATTGGGGCATGATACATTGAATGAGTTCAGAAACAACATAAGTAATGCTACGATATTTCTACAGACATACTTGGTAATAGCTTGGTCATGCTAATTGAGGTAATAGATACATATTAACTACTCAATCATTTGTGTGATTGACTAACGTGATCAGAAAATGTAACACTAAGATTAGATCAGTTGGCCAAGGCGGTGAGTTCGCCCCTTATACACAAGTTTGAATCCCCTTTTTTCGTAGATTAGATCAATTTAGAGTAGTTTATACTATCATTTGTATGAAAGAAAAATGTATTTAAAAAATATTAAACTACTTTTTTTTCCCCTACTTATAGGACAGCTTGACCTGTATATTTTTTTTTTTTAAAAAAAAAAAACAAAGGGAAAAGAAAGAAAGCTTGACCTGCATATTACACTTGACGACATCGATAGGAGTGACGGCCAAATGGGTTAGGCCAGTGGCCAGCATACCTGCAACTCCACACGCCGCATAGAACTCAGCAGAGTACATCTCTACCTTCTCTCTAGGCGTTGCAATCACCACCCTTGATGACGGTGCTGATGATGCATAACCTGATGCCACCATTGAAGAAGATGAAGAGTAGAGGAAGCTTGGGAGGAGAGAGTGGCGAGAGTTTTTGTTGTTGTTGAGTGGATCTGCCATTATCGATTGATTAAAGTCTCTCCCTGTAATTTTGGAAGTCTCTGTCTTTTGATGGAATTACACGTCGAAAAATATCTGCGTGGCGCGCAATTTATATTGAAGCTTTTCTTGAGACCGTTAACTCACGGCGTTGACCAATCATTCAAAACTTATGAATCAGAAGACGTAACCGGTTTCGTTTCTTCTGCTGTTTCTACACGTTCAAAGAATCTTCATCCACTCAGACCCAAAAAGAAAAGAAGAATCTTCATCCCCATACTCCAATAAATATGAAGGCAAAAAATCTTCGGCTCCTGTGGTTTGTCGGATTTTTCACTTTTGTTTAAGTGATTTTAATTTTGACAATTTAACTCCGATAATTTAAATGTATATTTAAATTTGTGTTTTATTATGTGACACAATAAATACGTGTCGATGACAATAAATGGTATTTTAAATGAAATTGAAAGAAATTTGATATAATTTTACAACGTAACTTTGAATTGTGAGAGATTTAAAACTATAGAGACAAGATTAACAAAATTAAAACTAATTGAGAAAACAGACAAACTACAACGACAAAAAATTGACCTTTTGCTAATTAAGAAACACATTCCAGACGACATGTCGTTTGTGTAGTAATGGCCGCCGGCCGGTGGGGAGATGGATGGTCTAGTTGTTAATTTGTCCCATCTGGCAACTTGTACCTGAATTCCAAGGCCCCACCCATGGTTTCCAATCTCTGCCACGTAAGTAGAAGATAGGGCAGCTCTGTTCCAATAGGGCACAACTTTACCTCAGCCTCGCCATATCCCACTGTTTTGAGTAACAAAGTTTTTGTGGTTTGGTTTCTTGAGCAGCTTCAATGGCTTCTGCTTCAGCTACTTCTCTTTGCAGGTTCCAGCCCTTTCAAAACCAGCCAACCAAGACTTCTGGCCTGGTATTAGCATTTAACCTAATTTCTCTGTCTTTTTCTTCCTTTTTTTTTTTCATTTGGGTTATCTTCTAAATTTTGGGTTTGCCTTATCTATGGATTGAATGTTGCCATCATTTGTTTTTTTTAATACTTTTTTTTATTGAATTATTGCCCAATTGAAGGTTTTTCAGACCAATAAGTAAATGTGATTAAACTGAAAGTATAAATATGAGCCAATATCTGCTTTTGATGCTTATGAAATGTAGGTAACAAGAACAAGTTCAAGTTTACAATTGGTTTCTAATGGATGGGCTAAGACTGGCTTCTCTTCTCTGAGAACCTCTCGTCTCCAAATCTGTTGCGCTGTAAGTTGTTCAGCTCGAAAATTTATTGTGTGCATCTGATACACGACGACGACATATTTCACTCGTAACAAGTTATATATCGAAAACCACATAATGAAAATTGAAAAATGGACAGGCCAAACCTGAGACAGTGCAAAAGGTTGTGGAGATCGTGAGGAAGCAACTGGCTTTGCCTCCAGAGTCTGAGGTCACCCCTGACTCCAAGTTTGCATCCCTTGGTGCCGACTCTCTTGACACAGTATACCCTGCTGCCATTATTTTCTACTCCAATTGATTATCAAATTCTATTTATGCATATGGTTTTTAAATTAAATATTAAATTAATTATTATATATATTTTATTGGTGGATAAAAAAATAAGATTGGATGATCTGTTGCAGGTGGAGATAGTGATGGGTTTGGAGGAAGAATTTGACATAAGCGTTGAAGAGGAGAGCTCGCAGAACATAAGCACGGTCCAAGAAGCAGCTGATTTGATAGAGAAGCTGGTTGAGAAGAAAGCAGCTGCCTAATTATAATTAAGTTTGATTGGTTATGTGCCTAATTAAATTGTGACCTTTTCTTGATTTGATTTGGTGAGGTTGGTTGGTTGGTTTTGCAGGTTCTGGATTTTGTATGACTTTGATTTGATCAATGATTTTCGTCGAGTTGCCTTGCTTTCTGTGTGATAATATATGCTCTAGTCTAGATGTGCATGTTATTTGCCCTTCCTTTTGTGCGTTAGATTAGGATGTATTTCATGCCTTGTAACAACTGACGTAATATATCAACAAGTGACAATTACTTACATGAACACAGTTGATAATGTATTTCCTACCAAATATAAGTAATTCCAAATTTTCAAACAATCAAAGATTGTGAATTTAAAAGATAATATGTACAATTGATTAAATTACACTTTTCATCACCATGGTTTAGACCATTTTCGGCTTATTAAGGCCACGTTTACAATTTCTGCTCTAACCTTGAGTGTTTTGCATAAATATTAAATGTTGATAGTTGCAATTCTCTCTTATACATTATATTTAAATCAACTGTATGTGTATGATTGTGAATTGATGATCGACTAATCTAACGTATCAAAATTTATCTTATTAAATCTACAAATCATCCATACATCAGAATTTTACTTGAGGCGTATTTGATACTTCGATGTTCAATTCTCTATCTCATGCACCAACTGTTGGCGGGAGAGTGCCACAAGGATTTACCAAGAGTGAGATAAAATTTTGCAAAAATTATTTTCTAAGAACTCATTGTCCGAAGCTTTCTGCCACACGAAACGTCGACGTTTTGTTCATTGACCTCCTCCCTATATCTGTCTTCGCTCCGCAGCCAATAGTCTACGTGTCCGAAATCACTAACGAAATGAACACGTCGACATAATTCACCGAAACATTTGGCATCTGCCTGCCGCCACCAAAGTTTGGGGCCCACACCTACTCATTTGACACGTCACGACCCGCTTTCACTCATCCTCTCCCGCGAAACGTGCATCAACGTCAATCCAATCTGGAACGGCACCGTTTGGCCTCAACATTCCCATTTCAACCCCCGCACAACCTGCCTTTGACCCAAAACTGAAGGGGAAAAGCCCCCTCTTCTTCTTCCCTCTCCAGTCCTTCTCAGTCCACCCTCCGATTTCACTTCGATTTTGTCGAGAAGAATCTCAGCTCCATTTCAGAGCAACACACATATTTATATACCCGCATACACACATATTGATGGATCGGAGGAGACCTGCGAGTCCGGTGTACTCGCGGCAGTGGAGCGGAGGTTCGAGCAGCCCGGGGTCTTCTCCGGCGATGTCTCCGGCGCACCCTCATTCTCGTCTTAATCCGTCCGTCACCGGAATCTCCACTGTCAAGCGAAATCAAAACGTCGCCGCCAAAGCCGCGGCACAGCGGCTGGCTCAGGTCATGGCTTCTCGGGCCACCGGCGATGACGACGACGACGACGACGATCTCGGGTTTCGGTTTGCTCAGCCGCCTCATGCACCTTCTTCTCTGTCCGGCAATGGTTTTAATAACGGTGCAAAGGCTCTTCCTGCGATTTCAGTGACTCGGCCTAATAGATCTCCGTCTCCTGCGGTAATTCAGAATCTATGCTAATCATTATGCTGTTTTTGAATCTGATGTAGTCTTGTTTTGATGTTATAAGATTGAATTGCATAACGGACCTTTCTTGAGATTTTTTTGTTCAGTTTCGGTGCTGTTGTTTTGAGATTTGAATTGTGGCTACTTCGTTGTGTTTTGAGTTCGTTTATGAATGTATTAGAGTGAACCAGCTCAAGTTGACTCATAATTTTATGAGCTTCAGTTAAATTGGAGTCTATTTGATTGAACTTTTATATATATATATTTTTTGTGCCAGAGTTATTACTATTGGTTTATTCTTAATTAATGTTACTTTTAGTTAACAGTCTATTGGGAAACTTGTAAATTCTGAACGTGGTGATCTTATGGCTGATCGGATTCTGGTATTTTAATTAGTTAGGTCGGAACTTTGTAGAGCATACAACCTCAGTTCGTTCCACATCAGC